ACAATGGCCTAATCACACTAAGATGCACACTTCAGATTGGTAAAGCAAAAACTTTAGCAAGATTTCTTCCTTGTACCATAATTTCTAACCTCACATTTCCCCCTGGTTCCCAACCTCACTGCATACTATCTCTCACCTCATCTCTTCTTTTGCTTTTTCCCCTGCCTGCTCTTTCATCCCTTTCCTCTTGACCTTTAGCTTCCTTCTCCAACATCCAATGAGCAGGCAGCACATTCTAAAAGCCAGCCCATAGTACTACCCAACATGGATAAAAGAGGGAAGGAGTAAATTTACGGTGGATATGTTGAAAATTATTGTGTTTACCTGAGGCGTTTTTATTCAATCAGGATTTTTAGCTAATTCTTAAATCTCCAATTGTCATTAACTGTTTCCCTCCCAGACTTAACCTCCCAGGTTAAGTTAGGAATGCTTTGGGAAGGGTATAATTGTGCTCTTGCTGGCTAAACTCTGTCACGTGACATCCTTCAGCTCCACCCCTTCTGGATCTGTCTAGTTCAGTTAAGCATTGACAGAGGCCCCAGCATCAAGGAGGACAGGGAAAAGATCAGATAGAAAGACATGACATTTTTCTCCCCACCAGCATAAACCCAAGGAAAGATGTTCAAGCGCTTATGACAGCCGATAGTGTTGGAGAGCTTGACTGAATGAACTGTAAAGACAAACATCAAAAGCAAATATTTGATTCTAGGGATGGCCTGTAGAACAGAAAACAGAAAGAAAAGACTCCTAGGTGATTAAACTTATAGGATTTCATGGCAAGAATACTACTCTCAGTTTTCTTATTCTTTGAAATGCATTGTATGAAGAACTCCACTCACGAGTTAAAAAATTTGGATTTAGGTGCTGAATATAAAGTAAAGTAAGTGAAAACTGGTACTTCTTTCCTGTTCATCCAGCAGAAAGTGTCAGTTCTAATGCAGTCGCACACCCTGAAAATGTAACATGCTGGAAATAACCTAAAGAGAACATACTAAAAGTAACATTAAAGCTTTCATGCTTACGTACACAGTAACTCATTCTTTAGTTATTCAGAGATTAACCACATTATATTATGATAAAAAAACATGACATTTTAAAATTTTTTCTTAGGACTTTATCATCATCTAGGGCATTTTCAGGATCAGATCAC